TGGGGTGGGATGGGCCCTGGCTGCCAGGCCCTGCCATGACACATGCCCTCGGGAGCCCCCAATGCCTCCAAGAAGCCACTGGCACCCAAACAGCAAGAAATTCTGGACCATATAATCTCCCAAGAAAATAAACAGGCTAATGGGCTTTGGGATCTGCCCGTGCCCTAAAGTGGGAGGCATTGCTAACCGTGCCCCTGCACCGCTGCCTGCAGTACCAGTGAGGGTTATGGTGCGGCTCTGCCTCCTTGTCATAGGTGCAGGAGATGAATGTTGCTGCCCAAAGTGCACCAAACTGGAGCGTATATTCATCATAAATACATAATTTCTTCACCTCTAGGACTGAATTTTCTCCTCAGAGAATAAAAAACCCCCATACGTCTTTAATAACTGTAGTTACAATGATATATACCTCTACTGTAGGACTGTGTGCTACATCTTACCTTCTACCATACATTTGTAGCATTATTTCGTGCTTTGCATTTTAAGTTTCATCCTTCCCCAAATGGTACAGTTGGGTGAGATTCAATTAACTCAATTTAAGTATCCAAATATTGTCTATATGAGTCTAATATATTAATTGCATACTTCCTTTTTAGTCAATAGAAGGAAATACAGACCCATCGTCTGAGACAGGCCCAAAACCAGTATCCATTTATCTCCATTAATTGCAGAGTCTAAAGTGACTAGGTAAGATTTACACAACTAACTTTTACACTTTCCAGGTTAAAGGAGCTTAATTTCACCCAACGGCTGCAATGGCAACCATTTCTGCATGTGCTTATCTCTCAGCATGCAAATTTTCCCATCATATTTAGCTCCGTGCAAACTGAGCCCCTGACATTATGAACACAGCCTACCTCCCCTTTCTCTCACTTAAAATTTATGTCTGCATCAACACTGGTTAGTTCTGAAAAGTACATACCCCTTTGTGAGCTCTGCACATAACCATGGAAGAATATCTATCAGTGTCCTTCAAAGGATATCTTTCCACCGCTAAATCGAGCTTGCAACTGAAAAATGTTTCAAATGCATGAGAATAACCACTTCATGCTTAGAAATCTAATGGACGCGTGTCTTTTTTTTTCTGACCGCTCCACATAGAATTGTATCTGACTGGAGTACAGATATGAAAAGCGTTCCATATTCAAAAAGATAATTCTAAAAGTTTGGAAATATAGCACTCTAATGGCAGTACTTGCAGTACAGCAAGGATTATATGCAAATATATATATATATATATATATAGACAAGTGTACACTGGCCTGCCGTGCATGCACAGCAAGGGAAGGTGGCAAGCGAGGTCTGCAGCTCAAAGGGGCTTGTTACAGCAGGTATCCATCCAGAGCACAGCCAGCCGAAGGCACAAGTACTCAGCACGGCACCACCGGCTCAGACAACTCTGGTGGGTGAGCAGGAGTGACAGGAGCAGTCTGTCATTCCGCACCGCGTGCGACACCAGTGGGAATGGTAGGGGCATAGCAAGAAGAGGGAGTCAGGCTAGATTTTCACACAAAACTTAACAGGTTTGAAGTTGCGGAATTGTGTGCATTTGTTTGTTATGCCATTTTCCCAGTTTCTTCCAATCTGTTCAACTAATTGGAATACTGGTGGAGAAAATACAACTTTCTGCTGTCTGTGTCTCTTCCAGTGAAAAACAACCCTGTGCTGGTGACAGTGTGGTCACTTATGGGAACCGACAATGATTTCAAAGTATGAAGTGACTTCACTGTGCTTGCGTTAATTAAATGTTTTGATGTTTCGGGTGCCCTTTTCTTATTTCTGATGTTATGTGAACACGAACAAAGACAAAACTAAGGAA